TAGATCCCGGCCGTGAAAGCCTTCGCGAATATATATCTGATTTAATTCATTAGTCAGGAGGGGCCATTCAGGCAGCGGAATGTACCCAAGGTCTTCTGTCATGAAGACAGATGTGAAGATCTTATTTAATTTCTCTGCAATCTCCAAGTCCCCCTTTCCCTCCCTCACCATCCGGAGGGCCAGCCACTTCTCTGGCAGGTTTCCTGCTTCTCACATATTTTAAAAAAACTTTTATTATTCCCCTTTATATTGCTGGTCATACGTTCCTCAAAGTCTTTCTTTGCCTTCCGCATCATCGTCTTAAATTTCTTTTGCTAGAGTTTGTGTTCCTTTTTATTTTATTTTCCTCATTGGGGGAGGATTTCCATTTATGGAAGGACCCCTCCCAGCCCTTTAAAACCTCTCTAACTCCGCTCGGTTAACCATGCCAGCACCTTCTCGGACTTAGTTGAGCCCTTTTTTCGTGGTATGCACTTCCGCTGGGCTTCTACGACTGTTGTTTTAAACAGGCTCCATGCGCTCTGGAGAGATTGGATTCTTTTTACCTTCTCTTTCAACTTCTTTCTAATTACTTTCCTCATTTGAGGGAAGTCCACCCTTCAGAAATCAAAGGTTTTTTGTGTCAGATTTGCTTGACACTCTACCCACAACATGCATGGCGAAAGATACCGCAGCACGGTCACCATTTCATTATTGGCTGAGGGACATTCACATCCCTTACCAGGTCCTGAGTACCACACACTATTAAATCCAGAGTCCCCTGCCCTCTGGTGGGCTCCATGACAGATTGGTCCAAGGCCCAGTTATTCAGCATGTCAAGAAACCCAGTCTCTCTTTCTTGACCCAAGCATGCATTGACCCAGTCGATGTGATGATAACTAAAGTCTCCCATGATTACAATCCTGCCCCTCTTGGACACCTCCCTGGTTTGTCTCCTCACCCCACCTCCAACACACCCCTCCCTCTCCTTCCTATAGAGTTTATAGCCTGGGATTCCGGTATCCCACTGGTTCTCCGAATTCCACCAGGTTTCCATTAAGGTCACTATATCAATGTTATCCCTAGCCACCAAATGTTCCAGCTCTTCCCTCTTTGCTCGGACGCTTCGGGCATTTAGATAAAAGCACCTGCATACGGGGTCCCCTAAGAAGGGCCGCTTGTTTATTTCTTTTTCCCCCACAGCTTCTCATTCCAGTGAACCCACTATCATATCCCATCACACTCCCAGTCCTAATTCTTACACTGTCATAACTTTGTGGTTCTCTACCCTCTCCACCCTCATTCAACAGGGATGAGGAGTCCCGAACCGGACACTGCTCAGCTCTTGTCGGCTTTCCCATCTCTCCACCTTCTCCTCAACAGGGATGAGGAGTCCCGAACTGGACACTGCTCAGCTCTTGTCGGCTTTCCCCTGAGATTCAGTTTAAAAGCTGCTCTGCCACCTTTTTAATATTATGGGCCAGCAGTCTGGTTCAGTCTTTGGTCAAGTGAAGCCCGTCCCTCTTGTACAGTTATGGGCCAGCAGTCTGGTTCAGTGTTCGGTCAAGTGAAGCCCGTCCCTCTTGTACAGACCCTGCCTGTCCCAAAATGTTCCCCAGTTCCTAATTAATGTAAACCTCTCCCCCTGACACCACTCTCTCATTCATGTGTTGAGACCCCTGACCTCCGCCTACCTAAGCTGGCCTTGTGTGTGGAACAGGTAGCACTTCCAGTGACGCTACCTTTTAGGCCCTGGCTTTAAGCTTCCTCCCTAACAACCTAAATTTGGCCTCCAGGATCTGACAGCTACATTTCCCCACTTCGTTGGTGCCGACACACACCACCACTGCTACCTTGTCCCCAGCACTCACTACCAGCCTATCCAGACAAGAAATGATGTCCACAACCTTTGCACCAGGCAGGCAAGTCACCATATGGTCCTCACAACCATCACACAGCCCTCGCTGACAATCGAATCACCGCCCTCCCAGAACCCCCTTTCCCCACCCCGAGGAGTATCCTCAGTGCAACTGGATATGGGTCCGTCACTTGAAGAAGGGGTCCTCCCCGGGGGATGGTTTCCCTCTTATCCAGATTGGTGTCCTGAGCTATCCATGCCATTGTGGTCTTCGTAACTTTTGAACTTTTTAGATGGGTGGTGTTGAACCCTAAGCCTCTTGTTATTTTAAAAGTTAACATTGCTTGAGAAATAGGTTCCGGATGTTTAATTCCACATCTCTGTGTTGTGCAACTGTTGCTGATGCCTTATCAAGGCCTTTATCCTTCCCACCCTCTTTTGCATGCAATGCCGTGTCTGTTTATGGAGCTGTTCTTTCTTTGTTAACGGTGAGTCATAATTAAGGAAATGAGATCTATAAAGCTCCGTCAACTGACTCTTTGCTGTCCTTTTCACCTTTCTTCCCCTTGGAATGCCCTGGGCCATCCCGGAAGCATAAACTCTTTACTCTGTCCTTCTTATGAACAATCAGAAAGTTGTTTTGATCAGACGAAAGTCTTTTTTGCCATCAGGTGAATGTGAGAGTCTGTGATGAAGCGTGTGGTAGATGTGCAGGAAATGAGTCATCCCACACTAGCTCATTAACAGCTTGATCGAGGTCAGGGAAAACCGGAGGTTGGGCAAATGGAAAAGGAGTTGGTCTAGTAGCACAGCAAGTCCTAGTTTTAATGAGCAGTTGGAGTATTTTGGGTATGTGTCTTCCTTTGCCTTTGAGGACTTATTCCAGATGTATATGCCCTGAAACAGACAAAAAAAAAAAGGTGCAGTAAGCAGTCTGCCCTTTTCTAGAGAGCGATTCTGGGGCTAATGATGCACAGGCCAGCCTTGAAAAACAGTCTACAAAAGTTAGCAGCTTCTCTGTCTTGGTTTGAGGTTTCTGCCACGGCAGTTCCCTAAAGTTCCCTGCTTTCATGCCTGGTCACCAAGAGGAGCTTTGCTTTTCAGAGGCCTTCAGCTGCACAACTGTCCATAAGCCTTGTGTGGTCTGCTGCTAGGGCCTCTTGGCACTGAGGACAGATGACTTCTGGAGGTGGTACACCATCTCACCTCCAACCCTCACCCCCCTCCACAAGTCAGTAGGACAGAACACCACTGGAGAAGTTATCCTGACCACCTCTTAATACGGTACAGTTTATTGTTAAGGTCCTTAGACCTTAGACACAGGGGGAAAACAGACATTTACCGTTTCCAAAATTCTAAATTCCTTATTTGACATTAAAAGACCATTTAAACTCTGCCATAACATTTCAAAATTTCAGGTACTTCATTAAAAAAACATTTGGCATTTAAAACACAGTTTAAAATCTAGTAACTGATAACCGTGGAATTTCTGAGACTTGAATATTGCCATACAAAATCTGACTATTTGATAAGTGATCTTGGAATTTGTACCAAGAAACTCAAGTCTATTTTTTATTTAATCGGTGGGGTGATGGTCTCCTTACAAGCCACCTCATAATCAAACAATTCTTTACCTACAGTCCTCGGACCCATCATACAGAGAAGTGGACAACCCAGATCCACACAGTCTCTGCAATACGGAAAAACATCAAACTTAGACATAAAGACTAACTCCCTCAGCTTCCACCACGTCTTTGTAACACAGGCCTGGTCAGTGTTTTCATCCAGGATCAGGTCCTGGATGGCTGATGTTTTTCCCTTTCACTGACCTGGCATTCAGCAGCAGCACTTTGAACCCAGAGAAACTGTGGCCAAGGCTATCTAGGCTGTCTGAATTGGGACACAATTTTGGGGTAACCAGGATCCCATTCCTCCCTCCTCTCCTATATTAATATCCTTGTCTCCCCTCTCTGTATCTCCCTCTACCCAGTATAGTACCAGTGGCAGCTCCCTGACCCCTAATTACCCCCCCCCACACATCCCTCCCACAACAAGACTATGACCCTTATCGATACACCAACAACAGCAGGCAGGCATCCTTCAGTCTTGAGAGACTATGGTATTGTGCTCCATATGGAGGATTTGGAACAGCGTCTAGTGCGGCTGAGAAGGCCAATTCGAGTGTGACAATCCCTTCTACACTGAAGATAAATACAATCTGTCCCTTGTCCAGCTCCCTGATTTTGCTGGTTTCGGGACTGCCTCTTTGCCTCGGCCTGCTGGACAAGGGTCTCTTCAAATTGGAAGAGGCCGTGATGCAGTGCCTGCCTCCAGGCTGAACGCTCAGATGTCAAAAACAGCAGGTGGGCACAGGAAAAAAGGAGTCCCTTTCTACAAAAAGTCTGACCCTCCCTTTCATGTCTCCCCCAAAAGGCCAACCCCTTCCCCTTGGTGTCACCCCTTTGGTGGTGGATCCACCCCCTCGGAAGCTCTGCTTATAAAGCCACCGCCTTCCTCCTGAGCCAGCTGGCAGAGATCAATGAGAGGGGAAAGTGGAGGGAGCCAAGTCCAGCAAGGCCCCAGTTCTGCAAGGGGGTAGGAGATCCATAGGTCAGAGACCCACAGGAAGACCAGCCAACAGGCAGCAACGGTTACTGCCTCTCACCCAGTGCTCTGGTGGGTCAGCAGAAGTTCAAGGACTCTCCTCTGGACTGCTGGTATTGTCTTCTGTTGTGGCTCATTGTAATCTTACCACAAGAAAAAGGTTTGTTAGCCTCACTATTCTAACACATTATGTTTTGCTGGCTTGTAATGGTTGTGGGTAATACTTTTATGCCAGTACAATACACAGTGGACTGTTATATCTCCCATGTTCCTGGATTTAAACGCAGACTACATGGTTGTGGTTTTGTTTATTTTGTTTTGTTTTTTTGCTTTGGTTTGGTTTGTAGTGTTATTAACCATGGAATGTGCAGCTGTAACAAGCACTTAACCAGATGTTAATTTTATATGTTGCTTGCGTGTTCTTTGTTGTTGTGTTTAAAGCATGTGCACGTCCTCTGGTGCCTGTGCGTCCCTGTGTGTATCGCTGCCATGGGTCCTTTTGGGGAGAAAGGCGGGATACAAATATTTTAAATAAACTAATAAATAATATTTGTAGGGTGAGGCTATAGTTTATCTAGGCTTGCGGTTAAGTATACACCTGACGGCCAGTTGTAGGGATCCAGGAATTACTTGTAAGCAAGTTTTCAGGGCAGGCAGAGGGTGACACAGGAAGCACTCTGATCCTTTTTTGAGCTTGCTGTAGAAACCAAGAAGAGGAGAATGAAACCAGCTGCTGCAAGAGGAGCAGAGTTCTTTCAGGGGGTCTGTGAATTTCTCTCTGATGGGCCCTCTCCTGTGGCTAGTTTACCGAGTAGCTGTGGCAAATTAGAAGGCGCTAGGCCACAGGTTGAGTGGTTCATGCTGGTTTATTTATTGGCTAAACAGGTGTTTGATGCTTCCCAGGCACGCCTCCTCCTGCAGGCACCTACTCAGAGGCAGCTCCCCAGCTTCCCTGCCCTGCCTCCTCCAGGCGTTGTCCCTGAATGGGTAGTTGCCAGAGGAGGCAAGCCTGGGAAGCGCTGGACTCTTGTTCAGCCAGTAGACATACTAGCATGAACCGCTGAACTGGTGGTTCATGCCCATCTCTACTGGAAACGAAAATGTTGGTTAGACCCAGACAGCTGGTACTTCCCAGACAGCTGGGACAGAGGGAGACTGGCCCCGGCAGGTACACGCTGTTGGTTTAGCTTAGGGCTTTATTCCCCCTCCAGCAGCTGGCAAAGGATGGCAGGTGGTGGCATTATCCCTGTTTGTCTGCCCTTACTCCGTCTACATCCAACAGGAAGGAAAGATCGTATTTGAAGGTTTTGTTGTGTGTGCCCATTTGCAGAGTGAATGAGTACTCCTGTCCAAATTCGGGGAGGCACCAACATTATTCTTGGATGCAAGTATGAGTGACTTTGGGATACATACGGAAGATGAAAACTCAGTAGCTTTTTAAACATTTGGAGCTGGGATGTCTGATTTCTTCCTTCTTGTTGTGGTGCATTGTCCCAGTGAAATGGGTTGAGAAACTAGTCTTGGCTTCTGGCAGATTCTATCTACTCCCACCATCAACCTGTGAAATACCTGGTTCATTTCATGTCTATAGATGTCTTTAATGATGGTCTGACTTGTTTTGGTTGGTTAGTTCCTCTCTAATGAAATGAAACCACCAAACCAAGGTGCTCAGCATTCCTATATTCAGTCTTCTCTTTTCTTTCCCAAAATTCAGATCACTGGATGGCCCAGTTCCTCTCTAATAAAATGCAGACCACCAAACCAAGGTGCTCAGCAAAGCATTCCTATATTCAGTCTTCTCTTCTCTTTCCCAAAATTCAGATCACTGGATGGCCGCCTGCAGGTATCTCACCGAAAGGGTCTCCCCCACGTCATCTACTGCCGGCTGTGGCGGTGGCCGGATCTTCATAGCCATCACGAACTGCGTGCCATGGAGATGTGTGAATACGCATTTAACATGAAGAAGGATGAAGTCTGTGTCAATCCGTATCATTATCAAAGAGTGGAAACACCAGGTACACCTGGTGCCCTGGATGTTCTAGGATGTGGTGAGGGAGTTGAAGGCTCAATGCTGGGAAACTGGTGGCTTTTCACCAAGTACTTTGGTTACAGGCTTCATCCCTAATGTTCCTGCTTTTCTGTCTCATCCCTTCAGTGCTACCTCCAGTCTTGGTGCCAAGGCATGCGGAAATTCCAGCTGAGTTCCCCCCACTGGATGACTATAGCCATTCCATCCCAGAGAACACCAATTTCCCTGCAGGCATCGAACCACAGAGCAACTACATTCCAGGTACTGCCTTCCTCCTCCTAGAAAGTAATGAGTGGTTTACCTTTGTTATGGATCAGGTGCTGAATATGACGCACTAGAATGCTTTAACAATCCTCTTGTCAGACCTGCTTGAATTTCCTTTTTTCAACTAGCAGTAACTGAAACCTGTGTTTCCTTTAGCCATTACACGGCCAGCCCCAGCTTGGTAATCTCCAAATATGTTGGGCTGCAACTTTCACTTACGACATGCTGATTTGCTGCCCTGGTTGGGGATGATAGGAGTGGTAGTCCAGCACGTTGGGAATGTGCCAGGTTGTGGACATCTGCAGTAAAGGATGCTGTAACTTTCATATGGAATTTTCATATGGTCCATTCCTCTGGTTTGCTGCCATACTGAGAAAAAAAAAGGCTTTTCATTTGTCATTCCCACTGAATAAAGGAGCATGGAGAAAAAATAGCTTTTGGAAACCATCCAGATGTTCCTTCCTCCTTTTGTGTATCCTCCTTCAGAATCTTTCTGTGGACAGAGAGCACCAGGGACATCCACAGGACATGGTTCTTGCAACATTTATTTATTTATTTATTTATT